TTGTTCCTACGCTTGTATTCGCGGCTTCAGCCATACTTGTTGGTTACTTGCCTTCGTAGACCCACACTTGTTGCGTGTTCTATCGAAGTCCTCAATTAAAAAAAGTTTTTCACACTATTACATGATTAGATTTCATACATAAGTTGTTTTAATGTTTAGTAAATTTTATCTACTGAAAATCATTTATATATTTTCTTTTATACTTTACTAGAGTTATAAATAGCCATTAATCATTTATTTTACAAAACAATACATGCACAATTTTTCTTTGAAGCGGTGCTTTGTCTTGTTCTCATTAATGGTACATTATTCATCGGAAAATTTTTTTGGCCTTAGAGAGCATTGCCGACCTTGATAGGAGAGGCGTTTCATTGTTAATCAAAGCTTGTAAATTGATTGAGTATGCCTACTAATTGATGTAAATTTAAAATTACACTTGTTTTGTTTTTATGATTTAAATGCTCCATGTAGTTAGTTATATGCAAATTTCTATCCTTTTTATTATTTTACAATGTATGGTTTTGTACAAATACAATAAATATTTTTATGTGTTTGATTTAGTGATAATAACATTATTAAGTGGGGTAATTATTTAATTGCTTTAAATCTTAAGGAATGTGAGTTCTCTCATATTTTGTGCTGGTCATCCCTTATATTTCGGCACTTGACACATTTGATACAAAACACTGAAAATGAGAGATAAAGATTAGGATTACAATTAAAAAAATATATTAAAATAGTGTTTAACATAAAGGATTACTTATTATTTGGGATTAAACAAATCCATATATATATGGCATTGGGAAATAGCATGGAGAGAGGTAGTATTCCCCAATCCCACCTATATGGGATTGCCTAATCTAATGTAATAAGAAATTACTCATACCAAATACTCTTTAATGGTTTTTTCAATCTCAATATCAATTCTTATCCCTATTTTTAATACTTCGTATTAAACAGGGCCTAGGTGTAATAATACTAAATGGTCTACTCATGTTGGAAACTCTATTAAGAGTATTGTTAATTATGCTATGAGTAACCATGAGTAATTTTGATGGCAGAGGGTCTATTGCAATTGTGGTTTGTGATTGTAATGGCTTTCTCTTCGATGGTATGGAGGAGATGATTCGAGATGAGTCTTCTCTTTTTGCTGAAGGAGCTGCATTGCAAGAAGCTTTTAACCATGCCATTGAGAATCAACCTGATGATGTCCTTTTCAAATCAGATAACAAAATTTTAATTGATTGTGTTAACAATCAATCATCTCCCCTGATTGGAGATGTGATATTATCAAGAATAATCTTGGTTTGTCAAGGAAACTCCTTAGGAATCACTCTTGTAGACTAGATTGTACAAAGCTTCTTTGTTGGGTTGCGTCCCACAATTGGGTCTAGAGGCTACCTCCTGCTCTTAGGCACCTTCTGGATCAAGATGGCCATACTGTTATCCTGGATCATGGTTAATGCTTTCTTTTAACTTCTTTAGTAGTTTTGTTGAGTTGTTTGGTGTTTGGATGTTCACTTGAATAGTAGGGAAGTTGCACCACGTTTTATTATAATTGAGGTTCTTTTTTGGCCAAAAAAATGTATGGCTCTTCACATCAATATATATCGTTACATACTGCAACATAGTTCTTCCAAACCTCCTCATTAGTCATGACTATATTTGTTTAAGCACAAATGAATCTAGTGTATTGTAACAACGGGGAAAAACGTGCGCAACTTGTTGAACTTTTGCTTGATTTGGCTCAAACTAAAAGATTGTTGGCATTTTGCATTAAAGTTTTCTAAATATTTTTTCACACTTCAGATGCAAAAAAACAATTGTGCATATTTTCTTTGATTACTTTTCCAACCATGTGATATCAATGGAGCAATAGTATACTTTGCCTAAGTTTAGTTTCCTAGTTATTCTATATTTCCACTAATTTTCACCTATATTGGCAATGAATATTGGCAAAAAGATTATTAATGTAATGCTTATACTCAAAGTTCATTATTGTTAATGCACTCAATTAATAAAACAAAGTTACTGCTTTATAAAATAGGAGTAACCTAGGTCATTCTTTTCTCAAAAAACCTGATTGTTTCTACTTATTAATAAATTTGGACAAAGAATCGAAATTAACCAAGTTGGATACCAATTAGTCTAGTTGAATTAACCTATGTAAAAATAATAAAAACAATAACTAAAGTACTGGTTTGAGTTTCTTAGTGTTTAAGTGGAATAGTCAAATGAATAGATGAATGCATCAACTCTTGGATTGGGTTAGGGGTACCATCCTAGCTTCTCAAATGCTTGGAGTAACACCTTCCATTAAGTTAAATGAATTTGCCAAATCTGCCATAAAAATTAATGTCAATCAAGTATTAAGCATTTTCTATAATCCTAGCAAGTGTTCAAGCCTTTAATTACCATTTATGATTACCTCATATGTGAATTAGTCCTATTGCAAACTTAGATCACTCTTTAGAACATATACTTAATTATATGTCTCATCCTTATAAAATATTTGTCGCAATTGAAAGTTAAATTTTAGCAACAACTTTTTAGAGTTACTGCTAAAAGTTATCACCGAAAGTTAGATTTCTTTTATAGTGAAATCATGCATATAATTATGAAAACAATTGATTTCAAGATCCATAAAAAAGAGGCGAAACCAAACATCGTAGAATCCTAGAGATTTGCTCACAACAGAGTTAATTTACAAGTCAATGAAAACATGTCTATCAATCCATACACACTCCTCAATTCGCAAATCACCGCTCCTAATTCAAAAACTACAAATGTGAATACAAAGAAAGTGAATGAAAGGCTTCAGGCTTGGTGGCTACTCCCTTGAAGAACTACAGGCTCACATACTCCACTAATTTCCAATCCAAGAGCTGGAGACGCTCAACCACTCATAGCTGAAGGTTTAACTCCATCAAACTATGGTATAAACTTGATCGAGGTTAACAAACCTTGGGCAAATCCATGAAAAGATTGAGACGGGGAGGATGAAATGAATTGAGGTATAAATGGCATTTGGATAAGAAAATGGATGATAATCTATGGTGAAATTGAGAAGTGCAACTCAACGTGGAAAGGAACTCTGATTCAATGCGAACTGCAATTCAGCTGCGGCTTAGGAATTCTGGGGATAGCGATTGAATGGAAACTCTTTTCTGCCCTTACACCTAATACGACATGAATAACCCATGTGATAAATATTGTACCGATTCTTAAGAGTATTCTGCAAGATAAACTTTTTATCTGCATATATCCACTATGTCCAATTTTTTGATCAAATTTTAATTTAATGTATAGACTTTACTTTATAAGAAACCACAAGAATAAAATTTAAATACTTTATTGGACCATTATTAATTAAAAAAAAAATACATATGACGAAATTTGGTTAGAGAACTAAATCTAATGGATACGGGCAAATAGATCTAAGTTTTGTCCGTATAGAAGCATTGCGTGGTGTGTGTATAAAGGTCTGTGGTGATTATTACATATTTCAATTACATGCATGGTTCGAGTCTGTTTAAGTTAGGCTAGAATAAGTTTTGCTCATGTTTTTGCATGAGATTATAGTTGCTTGTGGATTTGTTGAGCTTCATAAGAAGTCCTAAAGCAGGTGAATTGAAGACATATTGAAGTTATTGTGAAACCCAAGTGATTAAGAAAATTTTGGATAGTTATGAGTGAAGTTCATCAGGCAATTTCAGTTTTGTTCTAAACTTTAATATGAAACAAAAATCAATTCAATCTAACTTTTCTAAAATTAATTATAAATTTTAAAGTTGATATAGAATGGGAAAAAAAAAATAAGAAAACAGCAGCCTAAGAAAATAGTTGGAATATCAAAGATTTCAAAGATTTCAAAGATTTATCATTCTTATCCCACTTTGCCCTTTAATAAATTTCTCATTCTTATAAAAATTTAGTTATTTAATAATTAAGAATTTTCTTCTCATTTAGCTTCCTAAGCTTATAAAATAATTTTCCTAGAGTTTTCAGGCTAAAAATTAACATCTATCCATTTTTCTTGAGTTTCTCAAGAAAATAAGCCTTTTATTTATGAAATTAAGTTTTAAATTATTTCTACCCCTTTTTGGCAAATAAGCTCTTCCATAAACTCATTTATCTCCAAAAATAATTATCTATAGTTTTTTAATCATTTTGTGCATTTATATATTTTTATAATTATTTCTTTCTTTATTTTCCTGAATTTCTTTAGGAAAATCCATAAAAAAATACTTCTTCAATTTTAAAATTTTAAATCAGGAATTATTATATAAATGTGTTGTTGTTTGCTTTTCAAGTGCATTCAATTACTATTAATATGTAGTAAATAAGACTGATTTTGAATTTTAAAATTTGAGAGGTATTTTTTTAAATTTTCTTGATCTGTTACTAAAAAATATGCTTTATTTATTTTTCTTAGATTTTAGCTAATTCTTTAACCTTTCTAATCATCTTATTAAGGGAAAATTGGTATAAAAAAATCCTTGTTTAAAATTTTTTTTTTTTGATACATCCTTGTTTAAAATTTTAATTGGCCAGAAGAATCTGAAATTGTGCAAGTATAAATATGATCCGTGAGTATAACATATCATCTACTGTGTGCAATTGCACAAAATTAAATTCTTCACTATTATCAAATATATAGAAAACTAAAAGCTGAATATAATTAAATTTGAATTCATTTAATTATAATACTATTTATTTTTGAATTCTGTTATATTATAATATTATTTATATTCCTATGTGACTCCTTTCACAATTTTCCTTTTCGTTACTTATTCATTCTTATCATTTTGTTCCAATGAGAATGAAAATAAATAACACGGCAAGGAAAAATAGCATCGGGTACTGCCCCATTAGAACTGGAAGCCCATGCCTGTGACCCGGAAACCACTGCTTTTGGCGGGAAACCGTTGGGCGCCTTTCGTCTTTTTCCCGCCAATAATACAGCGAGATCCCATTTGGAGTGAGGCGGAATCCAGATTCTAAGAATCAGGAAGAGTAAGAAGAAGCAGTATCCGTTGTGAAGAAGGTGTCTTGTGCTGAGGAAAGAGACGGAAATGGAAGCATACGGTGGGTACTTGGTGGATGAGAAAGCTGCTCGGGTTGAGGATGCTTTCCTTGAATTTCTGAAGAGGTCTCTTCTCTTGTTCTGTTTTCTCACTCTGGTTCTCTTTAATTTAATTTGAGGGTCTCTTGAGTTATTTTTTTTCCCTTCCAATTCTGATTCTAATTTTTTTCATTTGTTCTGGGAAAATCAGCTTCCGGGTCGGCCAGCAGAGAGAGCCATATTACGAAGCGGAGATTGAAACAATGAGAGCCAACGAATCCAACACGATGTTCATCGATTTCTCGCATGTCATTCTTTATAACGATCTTCTTCAGAAAGCCATCTCTGATGAATACTTGAGGTTCTGTTCTTTCTGCATTTTTAATGAAACCCCAAGTGTTTCGCGATTTATGAAATTGCCTTTCATATTCTGAGCCCAATAATTTACTGTGATAGATTTGAGCCCTATTTGAAGAACGCTTGTAAGAGGTTTGTTATGGACTCGAAGCCAACCGTCATATCTGACGATAACCCTCACAAAGACATAAACATTGCTTTCTTCAACATCCCAATCGTTAAGAGGTAAAGTTTCTGTTTTCTATTATTTTTACCCTTTTCCTGTTAACCTGTTTGTCCCCTTGTATGAACCAAATTTGGAAGCTGTTAGGTTTTCGGTACCCTCCATGTCACACGTATAGCCATGAGAAAAAGAATTTGGTGACAGGAGTAACACATATTTTCGTAGATTGTTTGGTCAATGTGTGTATTAAATAAAAATCTGCAGTTTTTGGGCTTTTTGTTGCTTCAATTTGTTATACCTACTTCCAACCTGTGTGAGTAAATTTTCTATAGGAACCAAATTGAACGATGTACTGTTAGCCTTTCTGCACCAGTAGACTGCACACAGTGCACTGGTTTCTTCTAGGATTGTTGCTGCTCACTCTAACGTCAGCTGTTCTCATTTATTCCCTTAATTTCAAAACTTTCAGGTTAAGGGAACTTACTACAGCTGAAATTGGAAAACTGGTGTCTGTGACCGGAGTGGTGACACGGACAAGTGAGGTTCGACCTGAGCTTCTCCAGGGAACTTTCAAGTGCTTAGAATGTGGTGGGATTGTAAAGAATGTTGAACAGCAATTCAAGTATACTGAGGTGAATTACAGATAATTGATCAAAACATAGTTGGTGTAATAAAATTCAAAATAAATGAATTTTTATGCATTTTACTTTAGATTTAGGTTATAAATTATTGTTCTCTGTTATCAACTGTTTCCTTAGTTATCCTTTGACTACCACTGTCTAATTTGCATGCTCTTGCAGCCAGCGGTCTGTCTAAATGCAACCTGTTTAAAGGGGGCAAGGTGGGCATTGCTGCGGCAAGAGAGCAAATTTACTGACTGGCAGAGGGTAAGAATGCAGGAGACATCTAAAGAGATACCTGCGGGATCTCTTCCTAGGTCATTAGATGTTATTCTGCGTCATGAGATTGTGGAACAGGCCAGAGCTGGTGACACGTAAGACTTCCGATGCCTTAAATATTCTGAGTTAGTGAAATTGCAGGGTAATTATTACCTGATTGAAGTCATATCCATTCTTATTCTGTCTTCCTACAGGGTGATTTTTACAGGGACTGTGGTTGTCATACCTGATATATTGGCATTGGCGTCTCCTGGAGAGAGAGCTGAATGCCGCCGAGAAGCTTCTCAACGCAAGAGTTCTTCAGTTGGAACTGAAGGTGTGCGGGGTCTTAGGGCTTTGGGAGTCAGGGACCTCTCGTATCGACTGGCTTTTATTGCCAACTCTGTTCAGGTTAGGTTGTTAATGGATCTGTACATCTTCACATGGTTTGGTTTAATATAAGATGTGTTTCTTAATTTCTTGGTCTACAGATATGTGATGGAAGAAGAGAGACAGACATCAGGAATAGAAAGAAGGATGCGGATGACGAAGAGCAGCAATTTACAGTCAGTACATGATGCTATTTTCTTGCATGCACCTTTGTATCTTCATATGGCTTGACTTATCTTTAATTGCATTTAGTAAATGAGCTTGATTTTCTTTTTCCCTTTATAATTACGCTTTAAAAATTCTCATCCTCATTTTTTTCAGTTCCTGTTCCCAGTATTCTAGTCTGTATGTCTGCATCACAATGTTTTCTATGCTAGTAAATGAACCTGCTAATTTCAGATACGTAAATTAGTTTTGGTTCCAGTGAACAAAATGTATTCTTTGTATGCTTCTTAATCAGGAACCTGCTGCAGCATCTCTGATCATAATTATTTTTCCTACTTGTATAGAACGTGTATGAAAAAAAAAACGAAACAATAATAACGTGGTTATAAAAGAAGAAGAAGACTAGTGCATATTTCCTCTTTGTCTTGGAAAGGTTGATTAATGACCCTCTGTTTGGCTGTCTTATATTACAGACACAGGAGCTTGATGAAGTTAAGAGAATGAGGAACACTCCAGATTTCTTTAACAAACTTGTTTCCAGCATAGCACCAACTGTCTTTGGTCACCAAGATATCAAGCGAGCAATCCTTCTTATGCTAATGGGTGGAGTACATAAATTTACTCATGAAGGCATCAATCTAAGAGGAGATATTAATGTTTGTGTTGTTGGGGATCCTAGTTGCGCCAAGTCTCAGTTTCTCAAGTACTTCTCCTTTTATGTATGTTGGTTCTATTGTATCATTTATGCAATTGAGTGGCTAATACGTGCTAATCTATGATTATTAGATATGCTGCTGGCATAGTTCCAAGATCTGTGTATACATCTGGAAAATCATCCTCTGCTGCTGGCTTGACTGCAACAGTTGCCAAGGAGCCTGAAACTGGGGAGTTTTGCATTGAGGTAAATACAGTCTGTTGCTACTTTGTACTCTTTAGAAATTAAGAAGTTAGTGCGGCTGGATTAGGGTATGCTGGGATAATCTTGTAAATTCATAACTGGTTTTCTACCTTCAATATCATGGAATCTCTAGTTTATAGTGGCATATAAGATGAGCATTCCACATGCCTAGTTTAAAGTTAGACTAAACGAGGGAATTATGAAATCTATTAATTGGTTGTGCATATTATAAGCTTTGGAGATTTAGTTGCTTGAAAACGAAAACAAGAAATGGCAAGATATTATACGACATATGCACTAGAATCAATTATTGAATGAGGATTTGAGATCCTCTCAGTTCTCATGATTTTAGCTTGTATTTCAGATGTCTGTCTACCCATTCTTGATCTTCGTGTTATTTACTCTTATTTTGCATGATATCATGGCAATTAGAATTTTATGTTAACATCTCATACAAAAGTGACATGTTAATTATTTTGTGTAATAATATGGACTGAGGTATGCTATTAATAAAGCATGGAGGTGCAGCAAATGAGTATGATTTTTCCTTTTTATAATATTATTTGTTATATTTTTATTGGATTGCTTGATGATATTAGGTACTATCTTCAACTATGTGTTTTTCTGATACTTGAATAACTTTTGTCCAGGCTGGTGCTTTGATGCTTGCTGACAATGGCATTTGTTGCATTGATGAATTTGACAAGATGGATGTCAGAGATCAGGTAATAAGCATAATTTTTTGATTTGGTATCCTGTGGCCGTGAACAGGGAAGTATCTCATACTTGAATGAATTGAAGGTAGCAATTCATGAGGCCATGGAGCAGCAGACAATTAGTATCACCAAGGCAGGAAACACAGCCACACTTAATGCACGTACTTCCATTCTTGCAGCCGCCAACCCTACAGGGGGACGATATGACAAGTCTAAACCACTCAAAGTAAGTTATCCAGTTTCTGATAGAAAGAAAATCATTGTTCGTTGCTCCTCTCTCTGAATGGAAAGGCCTAATTACTCTAGTTGCTTTTCAGTATAACGTGGCCCTTCCACCAGCTATTTTATCAAGGTTCGATCTGGTATATGTTATGATTGATGACCCAGATGATCAGACAGATTACCACATAGCCCATCACATTGTGAGAGTTCATCAAAAGCGCGAAGAAGCTCTGACTCCATCATTCAGTACAGCAGAACTGAAGCGATATATAGCTTATGCAAAAACTCTCAAACCAAAGGTTTGATGAATTATTTGCCTTTGAGACCACTTGCTTATATGAATTTTGTGCTTCTTTCTTACATAGCCTGATTAATGCAGCTCAATCCAGATGCCAGACAACTATTAGTAGACTCTTATGTGGCCCTTCGGAGAGGAGATATGAACCCTGGTAGTAGGGTTGCATATCGCATGACTGTTAGGCAGTTGGAGGCATTAATCAGGCTCTCTGAGGCCATTGCACGTTGTCATTTGGAAACTCAGGTGCTACATGATTTTTGAACTTACCTACCTCCATTTAGCATTACATATTTGGCTTTTCTGGGCTAAAGTTGGCCTTTTGCAGGTGCAACCTCGTCATGTTCGTCTAGCGGTTAGACTGCTGAGCACGTCCATAATAAGGCAAGATGACAATCAACAATATATACCTTATGATTTGCTTTCGCTTACGCATCATCATCATCTTTATATCTTCCATTTCCAATCTCCTTTATCTCTTTCTACTACTTACCATGTGTATTCACAAAAATAATTGCTTGTTTCCCAGTTGTTATGCTAATTGCTTTTTGAAGTTGACAACTGTATTTTTTTCCCCCTTGTCTGCAGTGTGGAGTCCAGCGAAATTGATCTGTCTGAATTTCAAGAAGAAAACCGAGATGGACAGCTTGGGTGGTGTGATGATGGACCTGATAGCAGAAACGATGCTGATGATCAAGGAGGGAAGCACTACAGAACAGAAAGATGATGAACTAAAGGTGAGGTTTCTTGTACCCACTTTACCTTAAAATGACCATACTTTTGAGGAATATCTGCACTGAAGATGATGAATATTTCCAGAGGATGCAGCAGACGGTCCTACCCCTCAACAAGGCAAGAAGCTTATTATAAGCGATGAATATTTCCAGAGAGTTACCCAGGCCCTTGTTATGCGCCTTAGACAGCATGAAGAAACTGTTGCACAAGAAGGTGAGCAGTACAAATTTTTCCCTTTGGCATGTAAATACTAAATACGAAAGAATCGCTCAAAATGCTGCTGGCTTAATTGATCTAATCTATTTCCATGAGTTTAGCTATATTCCCTTTCCTGGGTGTCCACTTAGGTACTATATTGAAATGTTAAATTCCCATGGGCTTGTTAATTTCAGGAACTGGTTTGGCTGGAATGAGGCAACGGGATTTGATCCAGTGGTATGTGAGCCAGCAAAATGAGAAAAATACTTATAGTTCAATGGAGGAGGCAGCTGCGGAAATTACCAAAATTAAAGCTATTATAGAGGTACACATTCACTTTATATGCTTCCCAGAATTTATTTACTAACATGCAGACAGATGGTCGCATGTTTAACGAGAACAAAAACTTGTACTGGCAGAGTTTGATTAGAAGGGAGGGCCATTTGATAGTGCTAGATGATGGTAGGCAAGCAGCATCGGAGGCCGCAGGTGCGGAGCACGTGACATCAATCTCCAGAAATGACCGGATCCTGGCTGTGGCTCCAAACTATGTTGTCGATTAACAGCTTTTCGCGTTGTTGCAATGCTATGATGTGTAAGTGTGTACAAGGGAACATTCAAATTATTCAATTACCACTGGAAATTAGTAACTAATGAAACTGGTCTTTGATGGAGAAAGTAGCAGATCACTCATGATTTATGTCGGCAGTTTCCGTGCTAGAGGGCAGGCCATCGGTGGCCTTGTATAAAGAATTTGTCACAATCAAAATCGGATGCACCAAAAGCCTCGGCACACTAAGATTTATTCAATACTGCGAAGAGATTTTATTGACTAGCTGTTGGTAGTTAACTATCTCGTAATTCTGTAATCTGTCACATGCTCACGCAAGAGTTGCAAGATATTGGTGACCTTGATAACGATTGTGTTTTTTTTTTTTTTTGGCCAAACTATACATACTTTCTCTAATTTTTATGTCATGTGTAGATAGCCTTCTTGATCTCTGAAACTTTACAGCAAACTCCAAACTGTCACATTTATGAATAACTTAACTGAAATTAGTTTTGTTTATTATTTGCACATAATTTAAAGCTTATTACAAACTTGGTTAAACTCGTGTGTGACTCGGCTAATTTGTTTATCTTATTGAGATAGGCAAATGTATATTGAACAAAACTAGCTCAGTGCAGAATTTGTAGGAGGGCATGGTTCGAAAAACAAAAATAAAGACCAAAGGCAAAAACTAATATTAATGCAAAAATATGAAATACTAAAAGTAACTTGTCTTCTTTTTTTGGTGAAATAAGTTGTCTTATTTTAAAGTTGTAGACTTGTGCCGCTTTCTTCATAATCTTTTATTTTATGTTGCCGCCACATGTGCCCTTTGGTTGAGAGTCAGAACTCAAGGTGAAAGACCGAAGGAGGAAAAAGAAAGGAGATAGCGTGTAGAAAGAGAGGGAACGGTTAATGTTGTTGGAAAAAATAACAATAAACTATTAATGTTGAAGAATTTAATTTCAATTATTTAAATTTGAAAATATATGTATACCAAATTATTATGATTGCTTGCATTTTAATTACTTAATCATATACTTTTTATAACTATTCTCTGTTTACCCTCCAACGGTACCCTGTGGGGCTGGTAGCATCATGATCTATCAACTCATCGTGAACTATGTATACTTGTACGCGTAGGTTTGACAACCTTATTGGAAAACTATGAGACATTTATTATTAATTTTAAATGTTAAAGGTTTATGGGAATTTTACGTAATTTAACGTTTTTTTTTTGGTGCCACCCTTAGATAGCCTGTAAAAATATTATTAATGTCTAACAATGTTGAATATACTAGTAAATTTTAATATTTTCAAAATACTACATTTTATCTAAAAGTCCTCTTTTGCAATTTAATCATAAACATGTAAAATTAACCAAATGTCCTATGTGTCTTCCTGTTAATGGTTCTTCGAACTTTATAAGTTCTTCTAAAATTATTATTTCCATTTTTACGATTATTTCTTAAAATTTTACAAATCTTTCTTTGCTATTGATTGCGTGAAACAAATTGCAAAGTTTTTCCTATTCAATATTCAATGGCATTGGGCATTGTCGGGATTTACAACTCCGCGTTTGTGGATGTTGTCATGATACAAAAATGGGCCAAAACTTGCATATGATGGACCAAGAAGTTTGGGCTGAAAGGGGTGGAATGAATAAAAAATGGAGAGGTAATGGCTACATAAAAAGAATATACGTTGTAGGGAGCCCAAACAAAAGGGGAATACACAAATAACCAGCAACTTGTTGATGGAGGGGTGGAGGCGGCAATGTCCTCACTACCATAAAGTGGAGATGGTGAATTTAAATTTTAAGAAGCATACTATCTCCGGTCCTAAATATAAAAACTAGTTGACTAATTTGAGTAGATTAAAAAAATAAGTTAAGTTAGTTATTTATAACAAATAAATGTTGTTGTTATTAAAATCTCCTCACCAATAAAGCTTATTGGCTAGAACTGTCATTATTAGAAAGACTATTTTAGAAAAAAAATAAATAATTATAAGAGAAAAAGTGGATTGGGATCTTATATTTAGGATCAAAATAAAATTCAAACGAGATCTATATTAAGAACCGAAGGTAGTACTTATTTAGAGAACTACGCATTAAGATACCGATTGGTACGAAGTACTGAAAATAAAAAGTAAGAATTAGAATTGCAATTGAAAAAATATGTTAAAAAAGTGTTTAGTACGAATGATTACTTATTATTTGGGATTAAGCAACCCATATGTGAGATTGGAGAATACTGTGGAGAGAGGTGGTTTTCTCCAATCCCACCTATATGGGATTGCCTAATCCCATGTAATAAAAAATTACTCATACTAAACACTTTTTAATGGTTTTTCTCAATCCCAATCCATACCTATCTTTTTTAATAGTTCATACCAAATGAAATCTAAGTATTCAAGACGTGACAGAAATGTTTAAAGTAACTTAGAGATACCTGAGTTTAAACCAAATGAAAGAGAAGAAGATATGGATCAAGGTCATGGAAATTTTTTCCAATCGTTCTCTTAATGCCTTCTTCTGTATTTCTCTTCTTCTGACATTCTTTGGACCTTATTTTCATTAAATCACAATTAGTATTGTGGAGCTCATGAAACATCCGTCATTTTGACATCTTTATTACGCATTTTGAAGCGCTATAATGTAGGTCAATCATTAACCAAAACTCATAAATTAAATTTTGTATTTTTATTCTTGGGTTACTATTCATTTGGTATTTTCCAGTTTTGTCGTTCAATTTTAAAAATTCATCACTAATAAAAATATTTGAAATCCCTATAAATCCTTTACATGAGAAAAATATTACTCTAGCCTAATCCTGTCCATATTGATACAGTTTATTCTTTTTTAAACTTGCTCTATTTTTTTTATAGAAATTGTTCTTTGAGTTTCAAAATTCATAACTCATGTTTTACATATCCATTTGCCTTGATATAGGATTTGTTGGAAAGCTTAGGAAGTGACGTTTGCACATAAGAATCATCATAGTCATTAGAGATCTTTACTAAGCGTTATTTAACAAAATATTGAGCATGATATGAAAAGCAGCTTAATCTGGACAGTCATGATCATGCATTTTAAAATCATGTTTCTAAGCCCATATTTAAGCATATCATCACTTTCATTAATCAATACATATCAAACACACACACACACACACCAAGGCCTGATATTATATTTAAACAACTCATGGGCGTTGTTATACATTTTACAACTCACATGAAAATAATGCCAGAAGAATTAATCAATCCACTTAGAGATTCATAACCTAGCATGGTTAGTCAGTGAAAATGAGATTTAAAGAATTCCAGTTTAAATTAACTTTCATAATTGAACTCATTGACAAGTAGCATTGCCAAAACACGCAATCAATAACATGTGCGTATGTGTAATGGTGGTTAAATGAATGAAGTATTAATGTAACATGTGTTGTAATTAATTTAATCCGCATTTATCTTTAGCTGGAAGTTCCCTAACCTCATCAATCTAAAGTCACTGAAAATTTCTCTTTTATTATAACTCATAGTTATCCTCTTGTTTGAGACAATTTTGTCCAACTTACCATTGATATTTAGAACTTGTTTTCATATCAATAACAAAGTTAACATTTTCATGCCTTCCCTGCTTGAGAAGTCATTGCAATATAAAGTATCAGTTAGTTCGTTGTCCTTAAATAATAGGTTTTTAATGTATATCACTATTTTTCATAATAATTTGCCCACTTCAACCCTTGATGACTTGTGGTTGATAGATTGAGTGATCTATCCAATGAATCAAACAACATTATTATTAATATTTTGTTATGCTACTGCTAAGTACCAACATATCCAATGCTTGATATATATATGTAAATAAAATTAATCTTGGGGTAACCAAAAAAAAAAAATCTTTCATGCTCAAACAATATCTTTTCATTAATTTGGATATTGCAACATGTACAAAATATCATTGTCAAACGCCACATTTTGATGATCATTTTCATTAGTTCATCATATTTAAAAATTATTTAAAGAGGTTGTCCAACTGCACAGAAGCTTGAGACTTCCAATTCAATAGGAAAAAAAAAAACCTAAAATTGTGATATCTCAATTCAGGTACCTAATACTTCAAAATGACAAAGAACAAAGTAAATCCAATCGAAATTATAAAATTAAAAAAATTACAAAAATGTCTCTTGGTTATATTTTAAAAAAGTTTGGAACCCCTCACCAGCGACCAACCACAGCTGGCTAGTTGCCTGTCGATGCTAGAGCTCAACCACCGACCACTGGTGAGGGGGGGTGCCGATGGTTTTTTTTTTTGGCTTTTGCTGAGGAAATTTGTTTTCTAGATGGGGAAGAAAGTGAGGTTGGGGGGCTTTGATCCCCCAACCAGGTGGTTGGCAAAAAAAAAAAATGACAGAGCCAAGAAGCTTTTTATAACTTTATTATGCAAAAAAAAAAAAAGTGAACTCATTTGCTTTGGCTCCAGTTCATGACAACAATTTATATAGGAATAATAAGTCTTGATTGTGAAATGACAAGTTTGGAATTAGAATTAACAACACATTTTTTCCAAATACATAACATATAAATCAATTAAAAGTAGCAATAGTTCATTTGGAAATAACAAATCCAAATTATGAAATAATAAGTCTTGCGTTGGGATTAACAACACATTTTTTTAATACATCAGATGTGAAATAACATGTAAATCAATTAAAATTTATAACACTTCATCTGCGAATAACAAATCCTAAATGTGAAATAACAAGTCTTGAGTTGGGATTAACAGTACGTCATCAGATTACAATTGTTATATTATTTATAATTTATAAAAATATAAAAATAATTTTTAATTATAATAGTTATATTTCATGAAAATACTTTATCTCCATTTTATAAAAAATATAAAAAAAAACTTTTTAATTAGGGAAAATGACATAAAAAAGAAGTTGAAAATTGTAATATTCTAATTCAGGCACTTAAGAGGTCAAAATCCCAGGAAAGGAAGTGGTGCTTGATCTAATAATCTGCAAATGTAGTCAAATGACTAAAATGCCATTGTACCATATTTTTTTTAAAAAAAAGCTATCAAACTTATTATTACCATTTCATTTTTTATCATTAGTTGTTTAACGCTTGTCATTACCAGTTCACAACTTATTAATATATAACTTATTATTATCAATATATTTCTTATCATTTGCTGTTTCACACTTATTATTGCTAGTT